TGTGTGTGTGTGTGTGTGTGTGTGTGTGTGTGTTACACATACACACATATGTTGAAGCAAAAAGAAAAATAAAAAGACTACATCTCTTTAAACCCAGGTTGCCAGGAAACAAACAGAGGGTGTGGTGACTGTTGGTGGGGACAAGACCTACAGCAAAGCATAGAAGCAGAGATATTTTCCACTGACAAATTTCAAAAAACTAAAATGTTGTTGAAAAAGTGTTAATATTCTGTATCAAAATAAAATAAGAAACAGGATTATTTTTATCAAGAAAGGAAGTGAAGTCTAAATAAATAAATGAATAAGAAATAAAAGGACAAAATGAAAGCTAATTAAAAATATTAAAAGGATAATTATTAGAATAATCAAACCTATAGTCAAGGCTTATTTAAGACATAGGTATTGATAAAAAATTTGAAAAACAGAAACTAAATTCACTGAGAATTCAAACTGAGATAGTTCAAGAGATACCCTAAAAAGGGGGGATTCTTTAGGTTTTGATAAATTCAAGGCTATTTAGCTTTTCAGTGTCATTTTCAATACATCTTTATTTCTGCTGTTTTATATCTGTGCCTTGCTTGTGAATCTGTACTCATTCTAATCTGTAATTCTGAAAACAGGTTATCTTGGTTCTATTTCTAGTATTGACAGGTCTAAGAAATAACTTTGGCTGCTTTCCTAAATTTCTTTCCTGCAAGTCAGAACTGAATAAAAATAATCGATGTCATACCACAGAGGTGGCAAGTTTGCTCATGCTATTTTATAATATTAGTTAATGTTAGTGCAGTCTAGAATTTTGAAGATAAAAAGTGCCTGGAGATATTCTGTGTGAAAGTTATGATTGTATAAGGGATGAAATTAAAGTCAAGCAACTTGCTCACAGTTGTACTGTCCACAGTGACAGAACTGGAAACAGAATTTGATTGACTTCCAGACTGCTAGCATGTTGTTTTTTCCCCACAAAAAAAGCAATAGGTCTGATGTTAGAAGCTTACAGAGAGACAGAGAGACAAATGGATCATGAAGGGAAAAAAAAATGGTGCCTTTTGCAAAACACTGTAAGCAAAAAAATTCTGAGCTAAAAATCAAAATACCAGTTCTCTACAGAATACTCAACCAGCAAAGCTAGTGCTCCTGTGGTCATACTCTGGCATCTCCCTGATGAAATCTCTCAGGTAGTTTACCAGGGTCAGAAAACCCCATAGAGCCACAACCAAATCAGCATCACATGGATCAAATGCAGGAATTTAGACACTGAAGATGTTTGCTGAATGAATAATGAGCACTTCCAATTCTAGAGCCCCCATGAACCATATTACAATACAGTGAAGGAACACCTCTCTTTGCTTAGAGGTACAGTTTATCTTCACAGCTGGTAGTCTAGAGCCCAATGGAAATAGCCACTAGGTTTTTGTTTTGTTTTGTTTTGGTGGTGGTGGTACTGGTGCTAGGGATCAAACCTAGAACCTTGTGAGTGTTAGGCCAAGTGTTTGACCATTGAACTGCACACCCAGCTACCATGAATTTCTTTTAAAATCATGAAAGATTGCTAAACCAAGCCAGAAAAACAACAGTGTGTAGACAACATACTTGAAGCATTTTTAAAACTTATTTTTATTTAGCGTGTATGAGTGTATTGTTTGCATGTATGTAAGTGCACCTGTGTTGGGCAGTGCCCTTGGAGGTCAAAAGAGGGCACTGGATCCTCTGGAACTGGAGGTACAGATGGTTGTTAGCCACTGTGTGGGTGCTGGGAATTGAACCTGGGTCCTCTACAAGAGCAGCCAGTGCTATTAATCGCTGAGCCATCTCTCCAGCCCTAATATACTTGAAGTTTTATAATAACAAATATTATTAATAGAGAAGTTCAAATATAATTTCCTCTAAAAGATACAACTATCAAATAGAGAATGAAAAAAGAAGAAATACTTCAAACAGCTAGGAACCTGTGGTGGTAAATCTGTAGAAACACTAAGTGGTCAATTTGTCTGAAACCAACAATGACCCTGCATTTCAACTCTGGGCATAGGCTGGGCAGGAGCTGGCAGTGAATTCTGAAACAGACAGGGAACCAACTGTGCCAAACTGGGAAGCAGGACAGTCTTTCCACGAGGTGTTGACAAGCTAATATAAAACACACTTCAACTTTTCAAATCAGCTTAAGCTTCTTCCTTCAATCTAGAGACTTTTTTTCCTAACATCAAAAAGCATCAGATTTTAGTGACTTAAAAGAAAGTGCTCTCTCTAGGTTTTTCACACTTGAATATCTTCACAGTCAAACAAAGAAATACCCAGGAACATGAAAGCTGCACCCCCAGAACAACTGATTTGAAACGACAAATTTAAGCTTCATCACAGTTGACTGAGCAATTCCTTTCTGTTTCAGAAAAAGCCCATGTTAGCTGAGAAAAGACCCACTATTTAGACTTGGCTTATAAAACTCTGAATGATATTTTACAAAATTAAACAAAATTAATGAAAAGTTCTGTGTGTGTGTGTGTGTGTGTGTGTGTGTGTGTGTGTGTGTGTATGCAGTGTGTGGAAGTCTGAGGACAATTTGCCAGGGTCAGTTCTCTCCTACCATGTGGGTCCTGGCAAGCACCTTTACCTACTGAGCTATCTCTCCAGCCCTTGTTCATCTTTTGTTTTTAAGGAGTCTCAAAATAGGAGTTAACTATTTCTGAGATGATTAACTATGTATATCAACTTATACTGTATGTTAAATTACTATGTTAAATATTATTTTGGTGTTTTGGGAAAATGGAAGGTAAAATCTTAATAAATATGCCCTTATGTGCATATGAGTGTATGCATATGTTTGCACATTCCTGGGTGTGAACACTGGTGCGCATGTGCCATGGTGTGCATGTGGAAGTCAGAGGACAACTGCAGGTACTGGTCCTTGCCTTCCACCTTGTTGGGACAGGGTCTCTTTCTTGTTTTTTTGCTGAGTATACCAGCCTAGCTGGCACAGGAGATTCCAGGGATTCTCCCGTCTCCGCTTCCCTTTACTCTGTAGGGGCTAGGACTGCAGATGCTCATGCAGCACATCTGATTTTTATGTGAGTTCTGGAAATTTGAACTCAGGTCCTTATACTTGCACAGCAAGTCTTATTAAATGTTTTGCAATTTTTGTTTTTGGACTGAAATATTTCTATAAAATTTCATTATAAAAATTGTTTTATTTGCTGGCTTGAATTTCTCACTAGAGGGTCATCAATACTGGAGAATATTACTTTTCACTTTGCTCAAAGAGGCAGGCAGATCTCTGTGAGTTTGAGGCCAGCCTGGTCTACCGAGTGAGTTCCAGGCCAGCTGTGGCTACAAGGAGACCCTGTCTCAAAAAAAAAAGCAAGCCTCACTTTTGCTTTTGCTTTTGGTGCCCCCCATGATCAAGGTTCCAGTTTGCTTTTGATGTCCAATTTTCACTCAAAATATATAATTGCATTTTAGAATGTAAATTTGTAATTCTATATGTCTAGTATAATTTTAGAGTATTATTTATTGTCAAAACTGTACTAAAGCTTCAACAATACTGTGAAATTTATCATTGTTGCTGTAATGTGAATTCCATTCATTCCATTTCTAAATTCTCCAATCTATACAAAGTTTTTCAATGTAATCATGTTATGTTTTAAAAAGCAATGATAATAAACATCATTTTATTTTAGTTAAATAAATTAGTACATATGCTAATTTCTACGTACTTTCAGATCTAATGAACGCTCAGATCAATTTGCATTTTGTTTTTGGGTCTTTTTGACACGGTCTCCCTAGCTGGCCTATAACTGACTGGCCAGAGATCTGCTTGCCTCTGTCAAGTGCAGGGACGAAAGGTGTGAGCCACGGCTGGCTCAATTTGCATTTCTTGGCTACTTAATCTGTACATACTTTTTAAGTTAGCACAGAGCAGAAATAATATTATTTATCTACTTCATGCCCCAAATTTCACACTATAAATCTATTTAAAAATCACGAATAAGTAAAAATTAGAGTGGGGTATGGTGGTGTATGTCTAAAATCCCAGCTCCCAAACACCTGACTGATCCTCCATCAGAAGGATCATTGTGAATTCAAGATAAGCTTAGACTACATAGTCAAGACTCTTCCAAAGAAGATAAAAAATCATGCATAAGGTATTCATTTTTGGATAGTATTTTTTATTTGTCCCTATATTTATTCCCAGGAGAAGAAAAAGAATATAGAAAATGGCACGAATGCCTCTTAGCTCAAGTGGATATAATTATGTTATCACCTTTGAGAGGCCAGGACTGCAGACACAAGGATTGTCTCAGGCAGTTCAGGTATATGGTCATCTTTTTTTCCTGGGAGTCCAAATGAGAGTACACATTTACACGGTTTTATGTGCATATGTGTTTCTGTGTATGTTTTGAGCCCCTTTCATGCCCTTGAACAGGTCCTTAGTGAGAAAGCTTGCTCGTTTCACTTCCATGTACCCTATGTTTCATCTATCCCTACCTCCCACAGCATCATATGCCCCCACTTACCCAACTACCATGTCCTTGGGTCCAGCGGCTACAGTGCAGATCCCATCCTCACAGTGTTTTCCCACCAGACTGTGGGCATGCAGATGGATATTTTTTCCATTTGTGACCAACTGAACAATAACCTTTGCTGGTCCCACGTAGTTGCAGATCTATATGAGAAGCAAATTTTAAGAGTTAGCATATTTGACTTTATTATAACATGGAGAGATGTCTATGAAGTCAGTGAGCATAAATACAACATAAAATTATGCAAATCTATACATATGTGACTATAGCTCAATTTTAAAAAATATTATGGGAACATATGACAGAATGGAAATAAATAAAAATGTTAATGGTGACTGCTTTATGTGCTGAGACTATATACTCAAGGAAGCAGGTCATTTAAAGGACAGAAAGCATCATTCAGCTGAAATAAGACAAGTTGGAGGATGCTGTGCTGCTGGAAGCATTCCTTCCCCATCAAACACTGTGTTTTTCCTCTGTATCCTTGTCACAAGAAGGCAGGGATTTTATAGATTTCTTTTTCTCAATATGGATCGTTCCCAATACAATCTGATTTTAAGAACTGAGAAGCTGATTGCTGCTTGTTTGACTCCCCAGAGGGCAAGGGGGAGACATACCATCCCGTCTGATCAGCAGCACTGCACTAGAATCTTCTAGGCCTCTACCTGAGGAGACATGATGCAGAATTGGAACGTTTGCTTCTGAATACGCCATGAACTCACGAGGTATTATGGGGTCTTATAAACTTAATCCAGTTATGGTATTTGGAAATGGGATCTTTGGGAGGTAAAGTACAATAAATAATAAAGGTAGTCCCTCATCAAATGGTGCTGTGCCTTTATACAAAAAGGAAGAGATCCTTGAGCCAGCATGGCCTATCTTGTACTGTGATTTCCGGTCTTGTCCTGGGACTCTGTAGAGAGTTCCCATTAGACATGGCGGCCAAATCTGGAGCTGCCCAGCATCATTCTAGAAGCCAAATGAACCTTTATTCTGTGTAAATTATTCATCAGCTATAACAACAGAAAATGGAACAAGATATAGCCCTTCCCAAGGTGCAAAACCCTTGCAGAGCAAGTTAAATCAAAAGAAGGTTTTACATTAAAATTGACTTTGACCATTTCAAAGCACAAATCAATTTCTTGGGCATGACACTTAAAAATCCTTCTGGGCTTAAAGTAAATTGTGAATTTAGCAAGTTCTCTTTCACAACAGGCCAAAAGCCTTTACACTCAAGTGCAGGACAAGGAATGAAAAGCTCTGGGCCTGCTTCAAAGTTGAATGTTATTCCAACATATTTCCTGACTTGCTGATGCCAGTTCTGGGTGATGACATCTGAACTCAGTCTTTGTTAATGAACAGTAAAGAAGCATTAAATAAGGCAAGCAATTTCACTCTCAAGTGACAGAGAGCATTGGAATGTTAGCAGAGTGAGAAGCTCATTTGGGTGAAGTCATTTAGGCAGGAGCAGAGACCTCAGCAAAGAAGCCCATTCACTCTGGACTTCTGAACCTACCAATGCCACCACAATGGGGTCATTAGTCACTGGTTCTGACAGAAAGAGGTGGGAGTTGTGTTCAAAAATCACTAACATGTTTTTCATACTATTAATTCATGGTTGAAGGGCAGCAAGAATGAGGAACTAGGCAGACTCTGAGGTAAGGGACCTGAAAGATTTGCCAGTGACTAACAAGCTGTTTGATCCATTTGAAAGGGTCCAAGTCAGGATAGCATCATTTGGTTTTTACACAGACCACAGAACGACAACAGGGAGGTCCCTGGGCTTTCTGGACTTTCCAAGATATCAACTGAGAGAAAAAAAAGCTGAAGCGTGGGAGAGCTGTATGGCTGTGAAACCCTGACATGCGAACTTGGGGAAACAATCCTTCATAATGCTATGATAAGAGCTACTTCCTACAATTCAGAAACTGATTCTACAGACAATGGAAAAAATTAAATTCTCCATAGAGAAAATTAGGTTTACAGAGCACAACTGTGTCTGTCAGAAAGGTCTTTCTGAGAGTCTGAACATAGCAGAACCTTAAATACAGGTTCAATTACAGGTAAGAAGACGAAGATGCCACACTGTGCAGTGAAGCTCCCAGGGGAACTGTAAGAGCACCAGGTTCAGGGACAGGCTGGCTGTAGCATAGGCCACTGCTTGCTGGTTGTGGAGCCTTGCTCAGTTTCTTCATCTGCTGAATGAGATCATAATAGTTACTCAAGGGACAGTAGTGATGAATAAAGTCTTCACAGCACCGTGCAGCAAATAATAACACAACTGTCCAGCGCTACCTTAGTTGTTACTCTCAGGCACTCTTACCTAGAGAGCACTTAATGATACAGCTGCCCAAGGTGATTTTTAAAACATCCCACTTAAAGCAGGTGGCCGGACACTGTCCAGGCCACATCTATTCCTGGGGGGATGTCTTTCTCCATATTGGTGTGCTTTTGTTTCCTGGAAGCAGGCACTATTTAGTCTCACAGAGCCTCTGACTTTCTTAGCCTCCATGATGAGACTTAAGATTCTCTTCCCAAAGTTCTGTGACCACAGGCCAGAGTTACTTTTGGAACAATAACTAGAAACCAAGAGACTCAAGCAAGTATAGCCATCATAGTCAAATCACTCACTTTTCCTTAAGATAACTGACATACTGAGGAAAAGCACATGCCTCTCTAAGGTGGTTAAAGAGGCAGCCTAGAAGTTCCCCGAAATCACACTCTGAAATGTCCAGTTTGTTCTCTGGGTAAATTTGGTCAAATTACTTTGGTAGGAAGCAAGAGACAGTGTAAATGTGGGATGTAACACACCATCGTCCTTTTCTGCTTCTATCTTCTTGTGAAGTGGTGATGGCAGTGATTATGATGAGCAGGGAGAGATCCACTACTTTCTAACAGAAATCCATCCCAATTTTACTTGTGAACTTGACTTTGTTCTCTACCATACAAAGCATCAGAACACTGCAATTAAGTCTAAGAGCTCTTGAGGCCAGGCTCAAATCCCCTAGCTGTCACTTACTAGCTATGTCAGCAAAGATGGTTAACATATCCCCGTTTTCAGTTTCTCTATTTTTTTAATTATTGTTTTTATTTTATGTGTATGCGTGTATTGCCTGCATGTAGGTAAGTGCACCCGTGTCATGCAGTGCCCACAGAGGTCAGAAGAGGCTGTTGGATCCCTTGGAACTGGAGTTACAGGCAGCTGTTAGCTGCCATGTGGGTGCTGGGATTTGAATCAGGGTCTTCTGCAAGAACAGTCAGTGTTCTTAACCACTGTGCTATCTCTCCAGCCCCTCAGTTTCTCTTATCTTTAATAAAATCAATAATTCATTTGTTATCACAGGATTGTTTTAGGATTAAGCAAGTTAACAAACCACTTAGTACCTGATAGGATTAACAACCTGTTTCCTATCTAGGCTATTATACCACTAAGAATTAAAATTCATGTATTCATGAGTGTTTGTTAAGCCCTTTCTAAATGCTCCATGCACTGTACTGGGTCAGGAAGTGAAGGGATGCCCAATGCACAGAGCGGGCATAATCTGTGTTCTCACGAGATTTAAACAATGGGACTGATACTGGTTGGATAAGGTCAGAAGACCTTATTAAAAGGAATCTCTAATAGGTTTTTGACCTGGTCAGGAAGTGAGAGAAAGCTTCCACAGCAACTCATGAGGACTGAGATCTGACAGAACAGTAGGAAAAAGGGGGCGAGTAGGGGACAAAGGAGTTGAATGGTCTTCCCGGCAGGCGAACAGTACAGCATGTACAGCATACACAGCAGGATGAGAGTCCTACTTCTGACTCACCACCCTTACTCATTTTAGTTTTTCTTTTGAGACAGGGTTTCCCTGTAGCCTCAGCTGGCCTAGAACTTTCTAGGTAGACCAGGCTGGCTTCAATCTCAGAGAGATCCGTCTGCCTCTGCCTCCCATGCACCACCATCCCGGGCTCCCAGCCTTACTCATGAACACGTCACAGGTATTCCTTCAAGTGGTTCTACCACAGGCCAGTGTCTCTTCTTTTTCCCAATGAGGAGTGCCCATTCTTTAAGAAGACTAAACCTGAATCTTCTATGACACCTTATGATTTTAGCCCATTCAGGCTCCACTACTGTCCATTTTGAGAATGACTGGAGGGCAGAGGATATGCAGGGAAAGAGTATGCAACTGGCAACTAAGGTGTGCCATCTTACTTCTCTTGCTTGTTATTTACCCAGAGCACGAGAGCATGCCAACTCTGCCATCAGAAGTGGTGCCCCAATCCACCGGTAAATAAACTGAGACTCAGGAAACTGAAGTTAACCACCAAGGTTAGCATGAGCATAGTAACGGGGCAGTTAATTGGACTCTGTCTCTTCTCTAAAGTCCACTCACATTCCCATCACATGGTACTTCCACCTGGCTCAGCCATTTCTCTATGTGTCTGCTTGTCTCAGTGTTTTACGGCTCTACATTGCTGAGTGTTGGTACATGATGGTTACTGCTGAAATTCCTGCTTGTTGGTACTGCTGGTGTGTGTTGCAAGAAAAGTCTCAGAGACAGTTGTGAGAAGTGCCAAAAGTTCTCTTGTCCCTTGAACATCGCCTCCATTTAAAGAGAACGGTGCTACGGTATTAAGCCATGCGTCACTCTTCTCCAAGCAAATCTAATGGTGGTGGTGGGGTGCTATCTTAATAATGTACTGCCTCTCAAGGACATAAAAGGGTCAGTTTTTATTATTATTTTAGAATTTGTGCAATCAAGAAGCAAAGATCACACCTTGCTAAATGAGAGACTATAGCTACTAGCACAGTGAGTTAGCCCTTCTCGAAGGCAGGGGGTGCTGAGTTGCTCTAATCCAGGATCAATCCTAGCTTTGCCTCCTCCCAACCTCTGTGGCCCTACATGAATTAGATAACTTCTGAACCTCATGCTGCATGTCTACAAAATGTGACACACTGTAGGTCTGTTGTGAGGCCGTACGATGCCTGGCACACAGTACGCGCCAAGGAGCACCGATTTCTTTATCTGTAAAGATCATCTAGGCCTTCTGATGATCCTGAGATGAACAGAATTGCATTGGCCCCACATTGCAGATAAGAAAACAGGAGTTTAGACAGCTTGAGTAGCAAGTGATATAACCTTCAGTGAGACAGCCAAGA